AATGACAAAATTCATATTTATGTCAAGTATTCATATAAATAAATAGACTCCTTACAGCTTAAACAAGCAAAACAAGAACAGAAGAACATTTATTTTATATTGTTAGGACTATTGCAAAGCATTAGGCTTATGCTACCATTTCTGAACTCTCCATTTCAAGATTACCCAGCCCTTTATTTACCTTGAATCCCCAAAGGACTAATACTGCCTCTCAATGCTGGCACATGATGGTACCGGTGTGGCCTTGAACTCCTGTACATCCAGTGGTACCTGCCAATTTCCATTTCTGGTCTGGTGATAACTGCCAATTTTAGGTGGTAAAAAGTCAGTGTCACCAGCAAAAATTTTTTGTTCAGTACTTTTAATCATTTAACTTAAAAAATAAGAGCCTAGAAAAAAATAATATGCTTAAGCCTCATAACTGAAACAACATAATTATTAACCCAAGAGAGAAAGAAAATAAAAAAAGAGAAAGGAAGAAGAAAAAGCAACCGATAGGGTAATACTGATACAGCTATTAAGAGAGGCTGAATACTGAAAGCTCTATCTAGGCTTTGAGTTAAACCCATAGCAAAGGACTCTATTACAGCTGCTGTTCATTCCCTCTTCCTTCCCCCCACCCACTCTCACTTCTTCCCCTCTTCGTTCACAGCAAGGAGTTCCGCTCTGGAAATTAAAGACAAAGTTGTGGAAAACAAATAGCTATTTCTAAAAAATAACAATAATTTTCTTTGTAAGATTTAGGTTATCAGCTATAGAGATAAGCTCAACACACGAGTTCTGCTCTGTTAGTTTCTTACATAAAAATAACAACAATAAAAAATGTGGGCTTATTTTATATAAGCTCTGTTCATTTGCAAGAATCTGGACCAAATATGTTAAACTTGATCGATTCCAGGCTTAAAATGAATGAGGAGTTACCCCTCTTCTCCTTATCCTTTCAAAGCACAGATAGAGTTCAATAGCGATATATCATGCACAAAATACATTCCGATCTGCAAATTCATCAGCAAAGAACTTCAAAGCTTAAATGCTCCCAAGTTCTATGAAAGAAGCCACTGGCAAAACAACATCAACCCTCCTCTGAATCAACATTTTCCCCCTTCGGCACTGCTGCGGAATTATCAGGCTGTCAGGGCAAGATAGATCATTATTTAAAAGGCATCGAGTCTCACTCCGCAGCAGCCAAATGAAAAAGGAACTGTCATCTCTGGCCAAAGTAAATTTGACTTAGCCGCATTTTGGCAGGTGGATGAAGTGAAGGTTACGATGCTAAAATAGCTTTTTTTTTTTTTTTTTCTGGAAACTAGACCTGCGACAAGTTTCTGGGCTTGGAAGGGAGAGGAAATAGCAGTGCCACAAATTTTTACTTTGCCAGAAGTTAGGAGGTTCCTGGACCTGTTCCTTCTCTCATGTTGTTTTCCTGCTGCTGCAATAGCAAGTCCAGCACAGTAAGTTTACATAGGTTGGAAAGGAAGAATCTTGGCCTCAAGTCCAAATATTGGACCAAGTGCATTGCACTTCTTTTAGAAAGGGCAAAGTCTCCATCTCGCAAATACAGCCAAATTCAAAGTGTTCAGAAGGTATGACACCAAAATGACTATATGCAAGCTTAAGAAAACTTCTGGACTGATTTCATCTCCCTCTGGTAACAAGCCTGCTTATGAGATCACAAAAATCACTACAGTAATTGAATTTGTTGCAAAATGGAAGATAACAGAATTGCCTGCTGTCATCACATGTCACCTCTCCGCCTCCTCCCAGCCCTGATTCAAAAAATACCCAGTTATATAAAAATTCTAGAGATGAAAGAAAATCTCCATTGGTATTGCAGCAGCAAAGTGACAACGTCCTTGTCATATGCTACCGAATGGATTTTATCCTACCCTGCCTGAAACCCCAGTTCAAGATCTCTCCTGCGGCAGCTACAAAACACCCTGGCTCACAGCAGAGCAGGCAGCTGCCTTTCTTGCTTAGGCCATGGGAAGCCCATGGGAGATGCTGGTGAAATCACCGTCCGCTGTGGCACAAAAACATCAAATCCTGAAATAAAGAGTTAGCATGAAAACTCTGTAGCATCATTTCTGTAAATGAAATTATTCTGTGAAGTTTGTCTAATTATACATTTCTGGATTTGCAAAAACAGAACATCTTTCATTAAAAGATGATTCAGATTCCTTAAGGAAGCTCACATTTTTTCCATTTCTTTGCAAAGAACTACTTAGCAATTGGCTGTTTTACAGACTTTACTGAATTCTGAAAGGAGCTCTGAAGTCAAAGATCTTTTTGCTGAACTAATTGGGTCCTACTGAGATTCAGAGAAGTCCACTCATGCAAAAATGACAGGCAAGTCAGAGCCCTACAGGTTTCAGTGGCAGTAACAACTACTGTATACAGTATGGAGAAATAAGATTTTTAACTCCATACCCTAAATATTTAAGGAATGAGACAAGCATAAGTTATATCTTTATACTGCTTTTTGAGGGACTAACTGTACAAATTGCACTTAGAAGTCTAGTTTAAGGTACTCTTCACATACAGACAAGCCCATAAGCCTCTATCAATCCTTTCTAGAGGTCACATTCCTGAAGCAGTGATGCTGTGAGACGCAAGGGCTACAAGATGACACTGTTTTTACGTCACACAACATGGGCACGTTGATGGCAATTGTGGTGCTCAGTATTCATTGTGGATGAATCCTCCTGGAAGCCTGCAATAAAACGCCCTGCATCCAACAGGGATGCTCTTCTCTTGCTGTCTTCAGAGCCCGGCGTTAGAGGAAACAAACTGCTACGACTTTCATGTGTCACAGCTGATGAAGCAGGGCGAGGGTTATCATTTGGGCATTTATGATCTGATAATCTGTTGGTAAATACTACGCTAGGAGCAAGGAAATATAATAGGGAAAGATTCCCCGCTCCCGTGGCCCTCTTCCCTCCTCCAGCTCTCTTCTCTTTAAATGCTTTGCTCCTCTCTCCCACCGCATCGTCTGCTGTGCATATCCAGGACCATCTGGGGTTTTTTTCCCCTGTGGCACATATGTCTGGGTTTTCTGCTTTCATGCGGTCATTTAGGCAAGTATGAGTATGGTCTCTAAGTGCTCCCCCCACATTTAGAAACTAAATCCTATTCATTAAAAGCTAAATCACTAAAGCCTGCCAAATTATTATCCCTGGAATATAGCGTGTCCCAGATTCTTCCTGGGCTGGACCTCTAACATCCTTTTCCTACAGCTACATTCTGCAGATGCATAGAGCAGTATTACATTCAGTAGAGATAAAATATCAACAAATTGTTTGAAGAAAGGAAAAAAAAAAGGCAGCATATTAAAAACAAAATCTTTAAGCGGCTTGACAGCTCTGGAATCACTGTGGGATCCTAACAGTAGGGGACTATATTTTAAAAAATGGCTAATAAGCATAATATGTATGTAAGACAGTCTTTTCCTTCAATTTGCTAAAATGAAAAATTCATCTCTCTCTGATACATCAAAATTATCTTACATTCATTGCATAAAAGATCTTCACTTAGTGATATTAACTGTAGCGAGCAGATCAATTCACTCCTTTCTCAGCTCACAGTTCAGCAACTTTTTATACTATCTATCTCATATAGTTTCACAGCTGTGGTTAAGAGAAGTATTTTCTTTCCGTTTTTGACTGGTATACACTTGCTTGTTTAGAGTTTAGAATTTTAAACATCTCTCCTTATATTAGGAAAATAATAGTCAAAGCTCACAGCCATTTCCATAAAATCTCCTTCCAGCAAGGTTACCTTCGCAGGGAACACCGAATCAAAATGAACTTTTAGTACTGCTGTTCAGGCTGGTTTTCGTTCTTCCCAAGTAACGCACGTGCAATCTGAACATTGTATGCATTCATAGAAGGAAACTATACCCTAGCACTACCGCTTTCTTCCATGCTTCCATGTCTCATTTCAATGGTCATCTACACACTGATTTTTTTTTTCCCCCTAGATTTTCCAGCTTGGTAATATTCCTCTTAGTTAAATGAAAAGGGAGACTTCTTGTCTCTGCTAAGGCGCATCAGGCTCGAGACCCTTCATTGCTGATGCAAAACGGCATTTCGTTTTTCTCATTCGTTCCACCTCAGTACATCTGCCTGCCCGGGCCTCACGTTTTGATTTAATTTAATGCCTGCAAGATAAACCCTGTCATTTGTAATAATTTGTAAACATTCATCTTTAAAATGCATCCAATCTGTCCTGCAGCCCTGTAAAGTATCTGCCAAACATTTTGCTTGAGCTGAGCTCATGGTGTTCTCCGATAAGAGCTGCTGATATAAATATAATAAAAAGCTGACTTATTTCTTATCTCCATCAACACGGGTGTTGTTCAATTTCCAATTAAAAAACTGGGGCAGCAGCCACGCATCTGGGTGCAGAGAAGCAAACGGCTGAAAAAACACGAATCCAACAGCTGGGCGATATCGTTGCCTGAAACAGGGAGGGGAACTCACGGGGAAAAATATTAAAAAAAAAAAAAAAAAAGGAAATCACCTACAATTTAGTGAGCTTTAGAAATAAGATTAAGCAGTTTCATTTGTCAATTAATAAATATTCACAAGGCACAGTAGCTTGTGCAAATTGTCTCAACTGCAGCCCAAACCAGCAGTCTTCCACATCTGCCACAGGTGTAGGAGACACCAAGGAGCACCACTGTGACCCCACTGTTTGCTTCTGATGTGCTAGTAGATGCGCTGGCTCTCAGTGCTCGTCCTAAATAGTGGCCAGGCTTTACGGAGGGCTCTCTAGGACTCTGCTTGGCGTAAAAGGAGCTCTCCAGAGAGCATGCAGTCCCAAGCGAAATGCTCAGGACCCCTTCTTGTCCAGGATTGGCTTTAGGTTACTCAGCAAGTCAGAGGAGCTCGTAAAAGCAATAAGCACATCCTCCCCTGACTTTGCTCAGTTGCATCTCCTTTGTCTTGGCAAGTCTTTTGGGAAGGAAGAGTTTGGAACACTCCAGGACAAATCTTAAGGTTCTTCACGCTGCCACAGTTGTCTTCCCATCACCAGATCTGGGCCTGGTGAGCCTATCTGGAAACCTGACTGTTAGCTCTGGGTGCTTTCTCAAACCAATCTCCATCCCCGGGGTACAAACCTGGCCATGCCTCCCTCAGCACCGCTTTGGAGAGGGAACTTCCTGCACGGATCTAGCTTTGCTACTGAAAATCAAGTAAAACCAAGCATTCCAGCTACCCGTATTTCTACCATGCTGTGAGACACAACTGGAGCTTAACTGAATGGAAATAGGGACCATAATGTGAGAGGTCACGTGTTACCTTCCAGAAATTAAGGAATTGTCAGGAATGGTGTGCTACAGACACACATTGATGTGACATGTCCGAGGGGTAAAATTGTCACAGGAAAGCCAGGAAACTGTGGTAACATCAAGAGCCAAAGTTCCCCTGCCTGCTTCCTATGAAAATAACAGATCAGCCACCTTGACTTGGATAACAGATTTACGGCTCTGGATATTCTCTCCATGCTGCACTTCCATCCTTGCTAAAATAAAAAGGGAAACTACAAACTCACCACCAAATACATTCAGGGACTCCTTTTGTCTTGCACAGCTGCTAGCGCATACGAACAACTTTCTTTAGTGTTTATTACATCTTAATTTTTTCGCTTTAAAAGACACTCACCAAGCAGAAGAAAAAATATAATTTTAAAGAGATATATCAGAGACTGAGGTAGTTTTAAAAAAACTTCCTGCTTTAGGACGTTTTGTACATTAATTACTCAGAATCTGCAGTGAGGTGGGTTACTGCCTACATGTACTAATGGCTTTCAGAGTTTAATCTCTCATCAGTGGAACTCCTTTTGCCAAATCCCTACGGGATTATGTAGTACTATGTTCTAATCACTTGACAAATTTCATTTATTTGAAACTGAAGCTGGATCTGAATTATATGGAACAGGTAGGAAGAAAACAAGGTAAGAAATCAAAATCTAGCACTTGACATTTTCATTAGGTATCTATTTGAATATTTGAAAAATAATTAAAACAATGCTCCTCAGTGAGACGTATTAGCTGTGTATACCTACAAATACTGAAAATGCTTATAAACGATATATAACAGGTTCAAAGATAAACTGTGAGTCACATAAAAGGGCAGGAGAAATTTCAATAATTTTGTTATTGCTGTGTAATTTAGCGCAAATTACTGTTACGATTGGTATAACAGCCTGCTACACAAATGAGGAGCATTTATTTGGTGTAAATTCTATGATGCAGAAACACATAACAGTCCTCTGGTAGCTGAATGTACTCGCAGAAGTTCGGCGCTCCAGACCAAATAAATCACCTGAAACGATGGGTTTAATGAAGTATCTCTCCTACTGCACTGCCATTTTCTCATCTCACCACCGTTTCAGGATACAGTTTTTCTCCATTAAGCAGCAATTCTGGGTGATTAACACATCCCAAAGCCTAACGTTGCAAGACTCATTGGATTACTCTCCTTTATCATAGCACAGGCAGACCTCTCCATAAAACAAATTTTGCCAAACAAAACCACAGCAAACGAAAAGGGATTTAAAATTAAGAGGAGCGTCTGGCACCAAACTAACTTGGCGAAGGTGGTGCAATATTATTGCCTATCATCTGTTGTTATAGCCCCGGTCTCCCACACGGCATTGCAAGGCTCTGCTGCACGGCCAGCCTCATGGACAGTATCACCTTGTGGCTCTGAAGAGGACACGGACACCAACACACACAGTCCCTAAACCAAATTCCACCCCCCCTTTAAAAAAAAAAAATAAGAAAAAGCAGCAATAACAAAGCTTTTTTGGCAAATCCCATTCCTGGTGCGGTTAGGAGAGGCTCGGGGCAGATGCACAAATGCAGCAAGATCGCTGCTCTATTAATTTGCTGTCAAGCCATGGAGCTCGGAGCCCCCGAGCTCCAAGGCGCAGTAATGATTGTTTAAGGGCTGTTCTAAAAAGTGACAAAACTGGCCTGAACCTCTCTAAGCACCCTCCATGAAAAGATTTAAACAGGCTATTGTTAGACCTCTGGGTACCTTTTTTCTCTTGGCTTTGTTCTGCATTTTCCTCCGCTGCAGTTTCCATGGCTGGCTTCATACCATCCACCAAAAATGCTCGCCCCCGCCCCCCCGGCGAGCACTTTTTCTCTTTGCCTCCTTTCTTACTCCCTTCCGCCTCCTATTTACAGCTGCGCTGATTGAGCGGCTCTGTTCTCCCCTACAGTAGATCACAGTCCTCTCCAAAACGCGGAAAGTCTTGTCAGCTTCAATTTCGCTCCGCTTACTGGTCCGCGAAGCTCCGTGCCAGGAAACGCTCAGCCATACGTCACCGCGGACCCCGCTTATAAAATAGCCATTCTGCCTCCGATTGTGTCCCGGCTTTCTGTGCGGCCGGGCCCGCGGCAACCACCAGCCGGCCGCCCCTTCCCGCGCTTCCCGCTCTTCACGTCTCCCGCGTCGGTGGGGAGGGGGAGATGGCGGGGAGGGAGAGCAGCCCCCGCGCGCGGCGCGGCCCAGCTGCGAGCTCGCCCCCCGCGCGCCCTCTCCGAGGATGGCGGCGCGCGATCGCCCGGCTCGCGTTCCCGTGGGACCTTATTATCATGCTCCGCCGTTCCTCATTTATTCCGCGCGCTCTCAGGGAGCGGAGGTGAAGCACGGGGGCCGCTCGGTTTGTTTGCTCTCCTCGCGGAGCGAGCTCAGCTCACACAGGGCTAAAGCCCGTGCGAAAGCAGTGTCAAGTGAAGCACTGGTGCATATATAGGGGAAATGTGAACGCTTTCTCTTACTAGTACATGCCACAGGGGTAAAAAAGAGCCAAAGATCCAAGCAGGCAGAAGGGAAACAAGCCCAAGTGACCTGAAACGCATGTGTAATGCTGTGGAAAATAGTCAAGAAAACACAGCTTGGGTTTTTATCGTGTGCTTGCCATTGGAGACCTCAGCATCTCTTCGAAAATGAGTGCAGAGTTAAACACATTTGATAACTACCTGAGATCCAGGCAAGCCTCAGCACGACCTAGAAGGCTTTCCTGAACTGGCTCTGCAGGCAGAGCTGGACGTGTCTCTGCTGCACGGCGTGAGGTGATGTGGGGTGACTGGGAGCCACCAAGCAGGACAACGCTGTGCAGGGCTGTTATTTACCTTCTAACCCCACAGTGACCAGCAGCGCTGGGGACACGGCACTGGGGCTCATCAGCCTTGTCACATCGGCCTCGCAGCCGTGCAGCACGGGACCGGCGTGCCCACAGAGAGCCCATTCTGTGTGGGAGGTGGTCGAGCAACCCTGGAAAAAGCAGACTTAGCAACGTGGCAGGTTTCATTGCCTTAGCTATCGAGGCTGATTTTGTGAACACTGAAGATGCCTGGTGGGGATCCAGCAAAGGCTGAAGATGTTAAGACCCACACGCTCCACATAATGGATCCAACCAAGAGAGCACGGAGATGGAAGCAGTCAGAAGAATTTTAGAGTGACAGAGCCCTGGAACAGGCTGCCCAGGGAGGTAGTGGAACCTCCTTCTCTGGAGACCTTCCAAACCCACCCAGATGCCACCCTGTGTCACGTGCTCTAGGTGTCCCTGCTGGAGCAGGGGGTTGGACTAGATGATCTCTAAAGGCCCCTTCCAACCTCCACCCTTCTGTGAAGCTGTGAATTGTAGCCGCAATGCAGTTCTTTGTGCTTAAAGTTACTACACCCACGATTTTGATAAGTTATCTCTATAGGTGCATGAGGGAAAGCACCAGTTAACACCCAAATCCCACCTTTACAGAAAGTTCCCTTTGCTTGCAAGAAATCAGTATGTGAATCTCATTCTACTTCCCTCCGCATGGTCAAAATAGCAGCATTTGAGCAAAGTAACAAAAATATCATATTCCAGCTTCACTGGGAAGAGGCCCTGGACTCAGCCCTCCCTCATCCTAAGGTTTTGTATCACAGCCTTAACAGACTCATGCCTAAAAAGCTTTCCTAAAGTCCAGGAGAAAGCCTGCACCTGAAACACCCAGCACAGCTGACACTTTTTTCCCCAGGCAATAAGAAGCTAATCTGCAGAAGGGATTAAGCATCCTCAGGAACCAAGGTATGCTTCTCCAAGCTCCTTCTCCAGCACAGACACAGGAGCCCATCCACATATTCAAATCTCCACTTAAACAGGACTTGGTACTGCAAAGATGAGGAAGGAGGCCTCTTCAAGGAGGAGGCTGAAAGGTGAAATCACAGGTGATAATTGTCATCATAACATTTTATGCATTATTAAGATGTGTTCAAAGCCTGCAGGCAGAAAGGAAATAAAATTTCTTTAGATTTGGGGTAACAATTATATGAAGAAGATGTTTTTTAGAGAGCATTTTTCCAAGTAACTGATAAAATTCAAAATACCTAGTAAACACAGCCTACTTGCTGCAGCTTGCACAAATTCTAGTCATTGGTCAAAACAGGTGATTATTTCTGACATTAAAATCCATTCAGACTCTTGGAACTTCCCATTATTCCATCAGGACTTCCATTTTTACATGATTTTTGCTTATTTCAAAAAGGTCTAAAAGTTTAAAAGGCTGAAACCTCACTTCCTACTAACCCAGTTACAGAAAGCCTATTCAAAAACTAATACAAGGTTTATAGATTTAATAATATAAATATGCAGAAAAAACAACTATCATCTCGAACTTCCTTTTTTTTTGTTGAAAATAGATTCAACAAACGCTTTCAATTTACAATTTGTCCTTCCAGGAACCCCCTAAAGAACCACTCCACTTTGTTTCAGTGAGATCTATTCATTCAAATGACTTTATTTTCCCGGTTGCAAGTAAAATCTGTTGGGTGAGATCAAGATTTTAGAGCACATGTTCTATTAACACAAAACTAACAGGTGGAGAGATGACTTTCTCCCAGGATAACCCCCTCCCCAAGCAGCCACAGAGGAAATAAGCACACAATACCATAAGAAGGCATTAACCACACACAAACTTGAACTGAAGACTTCAGAAGCCATCAATCTAAACCATTCAAAAGCATTCATTCTACCCACTAAATCATCCTCTAAAAGCTTTAAGTGATGCGTGAGAGTGAAATGCTCCCTCACTTCTCACTGCTCTCCAGATTGCTGGAAAATATGTGTTTTAAGTAGCTGCTTGTCTTAAGTCATTTCTTAACCTTCCGCCTCTGTCTCATCATTAATAAGCACGCGGCTGAAATAAACCATGCAGTTCCCTCCAGCGATCCACCCGTGCACCTAGTACAGCCCTCAGCCTGCAAGCCATCTCAGCCAACACTCGCTTTCTTAATTAGCTTTATCTATTTATCCTTTCCATACTAACTGATGAACTGGGGAGACATCAGACAGAAAAACAAAACAAAACAAACAAAAAAAACACACACACCCCCTACTCAAAGTATAATATTTAACAAAAACCTCTTGTACAGACCAGGATGTTTCAGCTAAGCAGGAGCCAGGGATGATGCCTAGTTACATATCAGGAGTTCAGCCCACTGCTCTATTTGCAGATCAAAATAAAAATGAAAACGGAGAGCGGGGCTGCAGACTGAGGGATTCTGCTGTGAACGCACGGCTCTAAGCCCATGGCCAAACCTCATGAGGAAAAGCAATGGAGCAGAGCATGTGAGGGCATGGCAGGCCAAGAGATAGTCACTGCAAAGTAGCTTTAAAAAAATCTGTTTTTTCCAACCTTTAAAAATATTTAATTATTTTTCCCTGTCAAGTAAGGTAGCTAAACTGTACAAGTTTTTTAAAAAAAGGTATTACAAATCCAATTCTGTTCATGTGCCCACTCTTTTTGAACCACCTATCTTTAATCACTGAATGTAGTTTACAATCCTGAAGGCTAAGGAGCTCTATCATAACTTAAAGAAAATTCTTGAGAAGCCTTAAGGAGATGAACACACTTTGCCATTTCTACAGAATCTTCACAGAGCTGTAATAAAAAAAATATTTTTTTACATAGTTAAGAACAATTTGAGATTATCCTATCAAACCAGAGACTTTAAAGGTAAAATTCAGAGACTGCCCTTCAACTTGGACTGACATCTATTCCAAACAATTAATTTCAAGGACAGCTGATAGCACACATTTTTAAGGAAATTTCAAGGCAATGAAGAGGCAGTACATGCAGCTACTTGGTATTTCTCAACATTACTGCTTATGTTCAGATCAGATTTAGACCAGTTACCTAGATGTGAGTAAAAACAAACAAACAGAACCCCTCAACTCTTACGCAAAAGTAGGGATTTTTTTTTTTAATAATATGGACAAATTCAAAGCATGAGAACATGCTTTTAGTTCTGCAACGGTATCCACCTGTGAAATGCTTTAAGAAAAGGACCCGTGTCCCCTTCTTTCAGAAACAATTGACTGGAAAATTAAATCGTAAGTAATAACCTTGTGAATGAACACCAGTAGAAAAACGGTACTTTTAAACACAATGCAAGATACAAATTGCAGCCAAAGAAAATCACAGTGTTGGCTGACGCAGGTAGTTCAGGACAGGGAGCAGAGCGTAACTGTGTAAAGGTGCCACTCCTGGGACCTTCTTAATAGAGCCGTGTGAGGACAGCAGTAGCTGCTGCCAAGGTAAATGCCTGGCTGCAAGCAGGCAGCAAAAGAGGTATCATTCAGTTGTCAGGTTTCATACATTTATTTCCCTGCCTGCTAGATTCTAGTTGGACCACAGCACATCAGTCAGTTGCAGGCATTTTTTTTTTCCCCACCTAAAAAGAAAGTATTTTCTAAGAATTTCTTGTATGGGCCTAATGTTTGTTCTTAGCAAAAGAGCAGTTGAATAAATAACTCACATCTCGGGCCAAATCCTGTTGCCTTTACACATCTAAGGTTCCCACTGAACTGAAGAAAACCAAACCAAAGAAAAATTATTGCCAAACACAGGTGCCTTTTGCATTCGCATTTAGGCTCCTGCAGCCACCTGCAGAGCCGCATTCTGGAGGACCTAATACAGACTGAAAAAACAAAATGGTAGGAAAACCAGGTACTCCCTCCTGCTTTCAACCTATAATGATATTCCTGAGATAGCAAAAACGCAGGCTATAAACATAAAAACATAAGATACTCATAGGAAAAAGTTTGGGTAATTGGCTTCATTTAATGAGAAGACAGTTTTGGCCACTGGAAAGATTCATAAGCAATTCAACAGCCTGAATCCAGAACGTACACGGATGGCTAGCCTTAATTTGGAACATAAAGGGGGAGGAATACAAGCTATAGAATGAATAGCTGGTTCTATATGGGTGTTTCGGTAGCTAAACCTCTGAGTCTCATCAAGTCTTATTCTCAAAGTAGTATCAAATGGTAGAAACGTGTAAACTACCAAAGAAAATAGCCCCAAGAGCTATAATCAAAGTTACAATGAAA